AAAAAGCCCCCATTGCATTACAGATTACGTCACAAATCACATTGATTTGTGGCCACATCAATATGTTAATTTCTGTTGCAAGCACAGAACGATTGCTGCACTGTAAATTATAGCAATGGCCTAGAAATAGAAAACCCCCATAACCAAAGCCTGCGTCTTCCTGCAGTACTGGAATGATCAGTGCTGCAAACCTGTAGATAACAGCAGAGATACACATATAGAGATGCCTTACCATAAAAGCAGAAGGGAATTATGTCCTTGCAACGCATGCCGCTGAATGCAATCCTGCACGCTTCACCGCCTCTCCTCGCCCAGGTATGATTGAAGCTGCCCCTGGATCATTCATGCTCATGAAAGGCAGATGAATCAAAGGCCGCATAACCTGCATTGGCTGTGACAGCCAGCCATTCATTCACAGGTCTGTACACAGCACATACAAGCATTGCTCTGCTCCCATCCCCCTACAGAGGAGCTGATTGCAATGTACGTGCCAAGGACAGGGGAGGGCACTCTACCAGAAGACATAACATTGTACTTACTGTCAGAATTCCTTACTACGGATCCGACACAGGCACAGCATCCTTGGGAAGCACGAATCCCCTCCCCGCTCAATGGCCTACTTACTCACTGGCTCTTATGTGAATGCAGGGAAGGGTACACAGCCCCTCCTATACCATGTAGCTACAGTATGGACAGCCAGCATCACAGGTGCTCAACCAGTAACACATGGACCACAGCGGCTGCTTTGTGGTTTTTTAAAAATCACCATAATTCTAAGCAAATACATAAAATGAATAAAACCGGATACGAGTAGTATTTTCAGGTACTCCTAAGGGAACAGATTTATATAGGGACATAAGACAGCATCCTGTACAATTGGGGGACCTCAAATAGAGCGTTTGTTCGTTGTGCCAAAAAGTTTTTAGTGGATAGCTGTGAAACGTTTTTTTTTGGGGGGGGGGGGGCACTTCTCTGTTTATTATCCCGTTATATGAATGTTGAGGTTGCGCCCATGCCCTTTTAGTGCTGTATGGTAATGCACATGCCTCAGGACTGGTTGACAACAGCTGCGTTCGGTCTAAGCTGGCCGTTTTTTTCCTTTGCAGCCTGAGCACAAGACAAGCAATTGGTCTGGTCATGGATGGCTCGTGTTCCGGTAGTGTGTGCTAAATAAAAAAAATTAAAAAGTGCACCGCAGTGAGACGTGGTACAACTGCATTGCATCGTGGTGAGCGCATAGAACCAAATAACCCAAAAAAGGGAAAATAAAAGTGTGAACAGCTCGATCTAGCACATCAACACCGTCTGGGGACACACACATCAGCCGCCATGGGGTTGAGCACAGCTGCTGGTGTGAATGTGAATGTGAATGAATGGTGTGGCAGCGCACAAGAAGTCACCAACCCCCCGCCCCCCCCCCAAAAAAAACGGGCATGCAACACAACACACGGTATAGCGTTACCATGTATTGTGGTGTACTGCAACACACGCATTGGAGCTGCTGTTGTTGTTAGTGCGTTGGAGTGCCATTCAAAAATATTCAGAGGGCTGGCACGTGTAACTTAGGTTACTGCAACGCACCACAGCGGAAAAGCGTGAAAGCAGACTGAATGATTACATGCAATCTGCATTCCTGGCACCTGGAAGCAGCGAGTCGATATCTGGCACCATCATGTGCATTTACAGATACGTTTCTTAAGAAAGAAAGCCAAACATAAAATGCAGGTAAAAGCGCAGAAAAATCAAGCATTTTAAATGCTTACTCGCAGTGTTTTTCCTTTCCATAAAAATCTTTTCAATCACTTGCAATGAGCCTTTGGACTTGTCAGCAAAATTTGACTGCTTCAGAAGAGTCAATTCCCAAGCACAGACCTCTCCCTCTGTGCACGTCATAGCCCCCTCCTCTTCTGGAATGGTGCACGATTCCACATGGGTTACCGCGCGGTCAGGAGTCGCCAAGGTGTGAACCGATTGCGCTGTGGCACCCAAGTCGTGCCGGGCAGATTGCGCGGTTTCCCACCGCGATTCCGCCCATGCTTCCGAATACGATTGCAGCTAAAACAGCCGCACGTCGTGTATCGAAAAAAAAAAATTGGCACACAGATGTCACCTTAATGGGGCCGCACGACATTCGCTGCCTGCATTGTACGTGACGCACGTCCCGGGTGTCATGCGGTGTAGTGCAGGTGTGAACCTAGCCCAAGACATGCACTTGGCATTGGATTCAAATTCTTGTTACTTGAAAGCGGAAGGTATCAACATTGGAAGATCTGTAACTTTGTTGAAAATGTCTTCAAGAATGTTTAATAACAATAAATGAAAGTGAACTTGTCG